GGTGGAAATGTTCTGTATCTTGACTGTACCAATGTCAATATCCTAAATGTGATACTGTACTATAGATGCTACCATTGGATAAAACTTATCAAAAGTATCTGTGTTATTTCTTACATATAATATAGTAACATATATGAATTTAGAACTATCTAAAAAGGGAAAGTTTAATTTAAAAATCAGATCAATTTGGATACCTAATTTCATACAATAAAAGGGTATGACTGTTGCTCTTGGTAGCAAGAGCACAGACTGGTCTAGCAGTGCCAGCAGATACCATTTGTGCAGCCTGGTGGTTAATTATATCCCATGGGACCTACAGTAATTACAATGGGACCTGCACTATACTCCCCAGGCTGGAAATCACCACATTCCCTTAGGAATGTAGGCTGTACACTCAGGGCCATACACCTTTGGCAGTGGACAACTTGCAGTTGATCGCAGATAAACTGTTAAGAAATAAAGAAGTCAGCTAAATTTGAAGGCGGGATTTGTAGCACAATAGCCTATAATCCTGTCTAGCATGACTATTAATAAGTTGGGAAAATGTGTGGTGTCCTAACAATAAGTGCAGTTTGTGTTCAAGAATTATTGCTCCAAAAAAATGGTTCATTTTTCTATTTAGTGCAAAAAAATTAACTCAAGAAGGACATGATGACAATTTGTTGGCATATGGTAGTGACCATATCTTCACTTGCCTCCCAGAAGGGAACCTTGGCAGAAACACTTAGCATGAGTACTGCAGAAGAAAGACACCTCCTACTTGTGTTGACTGCTCGCCAGTGCAGGGCACATCCCAGACTTTATTCCACTGAGGCTCCCAATTCAGAGATGTCCATTTTCCAGAAGGAAAATCAAGGACTCCAGGGAAGTAAAACAACTTTCAGAGGTTGCAAATGGGATTATTGAGTGCTGAAATTCTGTCTCTTCTTTGCCCTCTTGTATTAGGTGTTGGCCCAAGTTCTTCCAGACATTGATTTCAAAGGTGAGTGTAGCAGAAGGTCGGTGAGCAATGTCAGCATTACGAGGGTGGATGAAGGAGTCTGTAAAAGAGCACTGAGTTTTGAAACCCAAAGCCTAGATTCTTGTACTGCTTTCAGCTCTGAGGGTTTTTCAAGTCTTTTACTACTTTTGTGAGCTTCTGTTTTTTTCATTTGTGACAGTTCACGTAGCAGTGAAATCAGATGAGAATGAAAGGTACCTGGCATAGAGCTTGACCCATAGTTCAATAGATATGGATGTTGTTGTTAGGGGTTCTTCAAGTTTAGGGCAGGGCCTAGCACTCTGGCTCTAATTAGTCATCACTTCTAGTTTACAGCAGGTACCTAAGGCTGCTTGCTTCTCAGGGATCCATTTTAGACACATGCAGTATGGGAGCCTCCTTCCATCCTCTTTGGAGGTTGCAGGCTGGAGAACTAATTTAGCATTCACTCTTAAGGCCTACCAACCCACATCCTCTGAAGGGAAGCTTGCTCACTTACATGCTGACATCTTCACAAGTTTTTAGAGCTGGGGCCATCAGCAGCTTGCTCCTCCCTCTGGACAAGCTCACATGGCTTTCATTACGATGCTGTGTCTGTCTCTGAACTCTAATATCGATTCACTGAAAGCAGTCACCTGCTTCCTGGCTGTGCTCTCAGAACCTGGTAGTGGGCCCAGAAAGGACAAGATGCAAAATCCATCTTTAAAAATAAATTAACTTAACAAGCACATTCAAGAGTTTCTGGGGTCTGTGCTGAAATTAACCTTAGAAGGGTCAGTGCCCAGTCCTCAGTATCTAGGCGGTAATTTCAGGTCAGAGGGTGCCAAGGATGTGTGACTGTCCCAATTCAGGAGATTTGGGTTGGGAAAACAGGAACCTTCCCAGCACGGCTGATGCTATCGTCTAACACCTGTTAATCTTCATATTTGGCATTTGGTATGTATAAAGAACCGTTCACATGAGAGACTCAAAACACTGGACTCCTGGGCTCACCCCTACACATTCTTGTGTATTATTAACATCTTTTTTTTTTATTAATTCCCTGGAATTGTGTATTGTGCCTAGCTCTCAACCTTGGCTCCTAAAATCCAATAGCAGGGACTAACAGCAGTGGCAGAAACCATCTCCACATACTTATTTTTACTCCTTGGATGTCACAACAGAAGAAGAGGCGATCTTAGTTGGGGTTGCTGGTGAGGGGTGTGGAACAGATATCTTCTACTTTTTCCTCTTCCCTCATTTGCTTCCTGAGGACACACTGTTGTTTTCAGTTCTGTCTCTACCACTCTTCAGCTGTTGACTTGATACCAAACGCCTGATCTTGAGTTTCTGAAACTTTAAAATGATAAATAGTAATTTACTTATTTAATAAAACAGTCATCTTTATGGCGTTGGGGAGAATGTTTATTCATCAGTTCAGTGAACACTTATTGACTGCCTGCTCTACTTGATACTGCTCTAAGTGATGGGAATACAATCAGGGAACAAATCAAACAAAAATTTCTTGTGGTGCTTATATTCCAGAAGAGGAAGACAGGCAATGAATGACATAAATAAATCATATAATAAATTAGAAGATGATAAGTTATACTAGAGAAAGTTGTGACAGCAAGGTGTACCCAGTGCTGTGGTGCTACACAGTGATAAATACAGTGGTTGGGAGACCTCACTGAGAGGATGACATTGGAGCAAGGGCTTGATGTTGATGAGGAGGTGGGCAATTTGGATGGATGCCTGTGGGAAAGCATTTCAGGGATGGGAATGCTTTCCTACAGGAGGCACAAATCCCTGAGACTGGAGTGGGCTTGGAGTACATGTGGAACTGCAAGGAGGCTTGCATCTGGACATGAATGTCAAATTATATATTAAAAATTTAACAATTTCACCAATTAGGATACCCAAGTTCTTGCAATCAAAGGGCAAGAGTCAAGGAACAAAGAGAAAAGCAGTAGGACAGGAGGTCAAGGAGGTGTTGGACTTGGAGTTTGCTCTAAAGCCCTTGTGGATATTCTGAGTGACGTGGGAAGTTGTGCAGAGATGCTCATGTCTTTCAAACATTTCTGATTCAGAGTACTTCTGAAATAAAAAGTCTTTCATGTTTACTAAACCTCCAAGGCTCTTTAATTTTAAAAAGACAAATGTTGAAGCCATATACTAATCACTCTTGGCTAAATGCCTATGGGAAATTTGTTTGTTCATATTGCAAGGCTGACATAGCTCCTAACTGAGTGCTGGGCATATGTTAGGTGCTCAATAAATATTTGTTGAATGAATGTGTGTGAGGCTATAATCAAGGACCCACTATTCATGTAACTGATGACATCTTGCTCTAATGATAGGCAAAAAGGAAGGGTTAATTATAATAATGATATGTGTACTACTTTATACTTCTAAAAGTTTTCATTGTGTCAACTAGATTTATTCTTGCACAGCTTTAAAATTGTCATTTAACAAGTGTTTTTATGTTGTACAATTTCACACCTTCAACACAAAAAACACTGGATTTGGAGTCCAAAGCACTAGGCTGTAATTCAGTCCCTTTTCCCAGTGTCTTCTGTACAGCATTAGACATGCAACATATAGTCTCTGAAAAGTCAAACTTCATACAAGCGAGCTTACATTCCAGTCAAGATGAGAATATCCCAGAGGCGAATAGACAATGAAAGGACTTTGTGGACTTCTGAACCAATATGGGCAGGGCATATGTGAAGGGAGATTGCAAGAGTACAGTTCATTCTTCTTCAGTACTTAGCAAGAAACTTTGAGAAGAAGTATCTGTTTGTTATAAATAATTTTCCTTATCTGGTGGTTTCAGATTGTGAAAGCAATACATAATTGGTCTAGCGAGACCAAAGATGGAAAGATTTGTAACCTAGAAACTCTCTTCTCTACTCCCTCTGTCCTCTCCCCAGTGATCAAGGTCAACAAATTAGTATGAATTCTTCTATATATTTTTCCTATCTCATTCATATGTAACCAATATAAAAGCCACACATAAGGTTCTATTATTTTTTTTTCCTGAAGTGTAATCATACTATGCACATTACTCTGTATAGAAAATTCATCTAAAACAGTAGAATTTCCAGCATGTTCTAAGTGTTCAATAAGTGTTAGGTAATATTATTATTTTCCATAAAATACTTTATTGGTTTACCCAGTCCTATTTCAGACTAAATATGCAAAGACCTTGACGTTTTCATTCTTAGACTTTTCATACCCAATTACACGTTTCTTTCTGCTTACAATCTCCTTTACTTTAAATGAAACTCCACTAATATCTTTCTCTGTGGCTATTTTAAATACTGCTTTTGCCTGTCATCTTGGCTTCTCCCTGTGCCATGACAAATCATCAGCTATTTGTTCTTGCTGGATAAATTTTCTGTGGGAAAGAAGAGGCTTCCCCAGCAGGCCAGAAGCCAGAGTCACTCAGCCTTTTTAGGGGAGGGAATATCCAAGGGAGTCCACAGTGCATAGGGACATTCTGCTCCAGGAGAACATCTGTTTCAGCAAGTGAGGAATGATAAGCGTCCACAAGAACTCTTGGAGCAGGAAATGACAACGTCACCTGGGAAGTTCTAAGTCCCTACCAAACAGCATGCAGAATCCCAGCCACCAATGGGTTTACCTTGAAGAAGTCCACCCTGTGGAGGAAGAGTCTGGCAAGAACAAGATAAGTTTGGAAAGACCAGCAGCTTCCAAAGGGAGCAAGGACATAACAGGCTTGGCAGAGGAACAGAGGTAGAGACCCAACCATATGGTCTACACTAACACAAGGGCTGAGGAAAATACTGATGGCCAGGGGACGAGGAGAATGTGCCCTTCTCCAGGGTTCTCTGTGGCTGCATCCGAGGTAGCATGCTCTCCTTGTCCTGGGCTGGATTTAGAAGTGGCTGGCACAAGTGACTCTAGCTGGGCGGCTCCAGGGAAGAGAGGAAATAGAGCCATTGTCTTAACCAAACATTTCTCATAGCTGCCTGTCGCCAGGCTGCACCTTGCAGACAGGTAAACAAATAATGAAACCCAATGTAGCACTTGCTGTAATAGACATAGTGTGAGAGATTATGGGAGCACAGTGCAGAGTTTATGCTTGGGCCCTCCACAAATATTTGTAGATTGATTGTTGAATGAAGCCTCTGCACCTGGGAAACAAACTGGAGGGAGCCTCTGCCTTGCCTGGAAGATTCAGGAAGTCTTCTGGAGCAATTGAGATTGAGTGGGTCTTAGGGTGAAGAAAAAAAGAGAATTACACAGAGGGAGGTCTACACGCAGGCAGAGAGGTAAGAATGGGTATGTGTATTTGGAAAAGGCCAAAAGACTGAGGTGGCTAGGGGAGAGGATAAATGAGGCTGAGGAGAAGTAGGAGAGAGCTAAAGAAGCAGGCATCAAAGGCCTCAAGTGACTTGCTATGGAGTGTGAATATCAGCTCACAGGAAACAGAGTCAAGTGAAGACAGTAAGATCAATGACACGGGTGAGTACATCAAGACCCATATTTCTGATCTGTTACATATAAGACAGATAGAGAAATATCAAATTATTTCCCCATGTTGTGGCATAGTCTGAGCAGCCCTATTCTGAAATCCAAAATGCTCCAAAATCTGAAACTTTGGAGCACAGACATAAGGACAAAAAAAATTCCACACTTGACCTCATGTGATGGTTCAGTCACAATGCAATATATTAGACTTAGGCTCCATCTCAAAGAAGTCTCATTAGGTAAATGTAAATATTTCAAAATTCAGAAAAATCTAAAATCTGCAACGTTTCTGGTCCCAAGCATTTCAGGTAAGAGACACCTAACATGTACAACATTTTCATCTCTGTGTCTGTTGCTCCTAACACTTAGCCTTTCATGTCCTGGTTATTGCTATCCTCAAATACTACCATGATCACTATGATTTAACAAAGAAGGCTGGCTATTGAGGTCATCAGAAACTAAGACCTCACTATGAATCAAAAAGAGGCAGAACCTAAGCTCAGGAGAATTGTATCACCCTTACTGGGATTCTGAAGGACCTAGCATAGGAGCTGTTGGTTGTTTATCTATAGCCATTGGTGAATGAGTCCTAGAGGGTCAGATTGGACAAAGAGATTGGGGAACTAGAATAATCATCCTCCTGGGTAATAAATTCTTTATATTTTTTCCTCTTGGTTCTCATGTAAAGCACTGTTATCTCTGGAGCTCTCACATGTATTGAAGTAATTTGAATGGGATCCTGCATGTAGTTTCTCCCTGACTAAGGCAGTAAGTGGCCTCCAAACTTTGGATCATGTGTTTCATTAAGAAAAAATTTGAATATGCCTATTTATATGGTGTAATTGAAAAATATGATAATTAAATTAAAAATTAAAAAGATGACAGTAAAAGAAACTATGACCATCAATCCAGTAAAAGAAACCATGACCAAACATACCTGCTAACAGAAAACACACTTATTCCATCATTTTGCTGCTTTCTGAAGCAGTTCTGGATGTCTTATTTCATGAATATCTTTTCATGGCTGTCTCAATGTCCTGAATTGACTCAAAATATTTATGGCAATTTCTGTCACATGAAAACATTACAATATGTCTTCATCCACCTTATTCATATGTGACTTCTTGCTCTTCCACAAAGTCAAAATGACCACGGAAGGCGAAAGTTTAGCTGATTCAGAACACCAAGGTGACCACAATAGCACAAAGATGCTCAAAAAAGAGGACTTCAGGAGGTGCTTCAGAAAGTGGTAATAATGATAGAATGTATGTTCAAAGCAAGGAGGTATATTTGGGGGAATTAATGGCAATGTACCTTTTACTGTAATAAATTTTTAAAAAATGTAGACATTCACCGTATTTGTTGATCATACTTTACATGTATATATTCATTACTTTCTATTCATATTCATTTATTAAGTACACAAGTATACCACTTTAAAATATACTATCTTTAAAACATACACAGAAAAGTAATTTTTAAAAGCATGAGATTTAGAAAATGTCTAAGTAAATGTTATAGCATTTTTCCTTGTACTACAAAAGATGATCTTTCCAATTAGTTGCTGAGCCCATTGCTCCCATTGCTTCTCTATGCTGAGTCAGAACAATCTTCACACTGTAAGTCTGATCAGGTTCTCTGATCACACCTTCCAAGATGCCTAATTAAAAGATAGTCCAAATACCTTCCCCAGGTAGGGGGATCTGATCTCCTTCTTTGTCTTTATCTCTAGATAACTTTGCTTGGGCTGATTGGTTGGTTTCTCTGAACAAGCCGGGTCTTAGTTCCTCATTTGTTCTCCCATCTCAGAAGCCATTTCCAGGTGTTCCCTCCTCTCTTTGAGATTTGAGCTCAGTGCATTTAACTTTACTCCCCAAAACACAAAACCCCACTGAACATTGTGCCAAACATCTGATGAGTTTTAATAATAGTTTAAAATCATAAATATATTCATTGAGAATCCCATATTCACTGTGACATGCATATGACATTTATATTCTCAGATTGTATGTTGGTTCTGTAAGTATCTTTACTCACCTTTCCAAAGAGAAGACTGTCTTTCATAGAAGTTGAAGAACTTGCTCAAAGTCAACATAGTGGCAAATAGGACCTGGTATCCAAGTCTGCCTGGTTCCAGATGAAGCTTTTCCTCCATCTCCTGCTCCTCTAGTAGAATGAAAAGTGATAATTCAGTTTGATCTGTCCCATACTAATCACTTGTTTGAGTCCTCTTACCTCAATTCCAAAGTTCCCTAAGTGGGATAAGACATTCATACCTACCCACTTCACAAGGCTTCTGGAAGGATTAAAGAGCTAGTGTTTGCAAAATACTTTGAGCTTCAAGAAAAGACAGGCACCAAAGAACTACAAAGGGTTATTAAGGTAGACTTCAAATCCTCTTAACAAGCTCTACCCGCTCTGAGCTAATCTGGTGTGAATCTCTTTTCTCCCTCCTAAAATCCCTATAGTTGCTGACCTCTGTACCTGGAGGCTGAGAGTTATGTCTCTTGTCCTGCTTCCTCCATTTTTGGGACTTTCATCCTTTTCAAATTCTAGCCACAGGTATTTTAATATGGCCCACGGAATCCCTATAATGTTTGGGATCCTACCATAATGAGGGCCCTTAGAAAGCATCTCCTTCAACTCATTGCACTGATGAGAACATGAGGCCCAGGAGAAACAGGCACATGCCCAGGGATCAATGGAAAGGTCATATAGAGGTCATGAGCCTCAAGTTGCACACAGCCATGCATTTAGGAGTAAGTCCAAAGTGGCACATACAACCTGATTTTCTCCTCTCCTAATTGAGTCCAAGATGGCAGGACACATCCAGGCCAGTTCTGATTTAGGGCCAACTAAACAGACAGTGAAAGCAGTTTGGTAGATAGAAAGAGCACAGAATTAGCCTTACACCCTTAAGTTTTATCCCTAGCTCCATCCTTTTGTACCTGGGTGATTGAGGGCTGGATTTGATTCATGGGCTCTGTTTTGCTAACTCCTATTCTAAAGCACAAATCTCAGCATGTCACCTCCATGCTCCATGCCATCACCTGCAGGCATTGGACCCTTGTCAATATGGATGTCACCTACCCCATCTCTCTCTCTCTCTTTCTCTCTCTCTCACTCTCTCTCTCTGGAAACAGCACAATGAATATATATGCATTGGAGTTCACAGAAAATGGGTTGGTTAGAATTGACAGGTTAGACTTATTTAGGACCTTTTTATTCTCTAAGAAATAAGGATCTGAGCTTGTCAACCAGTTTATGGAAGGCAATTCTTTGATTGTTTAGACTGACCAAAACAAAATGGAATTCTTGGATCTAGGTGCCATGTAATCAAACTTTGAAATGCGCCAGTTTTCAAAAAATAAAAAGACAAAACAGGAGATTCAGAGCAAATAGCTATTGGAGAGGCCCTGGTTACCTAAGCCAGCATAAGGAAATGCTCTGCAAGAAAACTGAAATAATTCTAGAAAAATCCAATTAGATCTTTAAACTAATTCTTTTGTTATTTTGAATTTTAATTGACTTCAAGTGAATAGGAAATATAGAAATCAATGGGTAAATTAATGGAGGGTCAAGCCAATGCCATTAAGGCCTGCTGATACACTCTCCTTGGTGTTGGCTCTGTCTTCAGTGAGACCAGTGATCCTGCCTCCAAGGTACAGGGCAACCTTCTTCACAGGGCAGTCTGTGTCTTGCTTTTCAGGCAGAAAAAGCAAAGTTCAGGTCTTTTTCTATTTCTTCTGAGTCTCAGTTGCCTTCAGCTAGTTAAGTTCTTGGGCCAACGCCACATATTTTGGGGTGGCATGTTCTGATCCTTTCAGAGCAAACTCAGCTAGGTGACAGAAGCAAGGAGCTTTATATAATTGACAGTTTTACTAATATAAGACAAGTTCAATGAATGTTGCAAATGTGCTCAGTGGGAATTGATTGCTAAGGTCAGCACTGACTTCAAGGCTTCTCCTTCAAAGGGTACTACCTCATTCTTGGCATGGTACTTCAGCCCGTCCCTGCTGATATCCTCCTTGTGCCATGTTTCTCTCACCCCTGCTTCTGGTCTTTTCATGTGTCCCCACTTGCATTTCACTGTATCCTCAAAACACTCTTCTTCCCCATCTTAGTGGCTTGGAGTAATCTTTCACTCAATTCAAACTCTAAAAGTTCCTTTCTCCCTTCACCCATTGTGAGGTCCCCCATCCATAAGTTAATTTCATAAACATGTGCTGCCTGCTTGTCTATCTCAGGACCAGGTTAGGATCGAGTAAAGCAGCCTTGGAATTAGACAAGTGTATGAATCATTATGATATTATATTATGTATTATGATAAAGGAGAGGACACGGTGCTGGGGAAAACAGCAGGGACCAGGGAGAGGGCAAATCACAAAAACTTTTTACAAGAGGCTGCTGCTAAGCTGGGCAGGCACAAGGACTTAGCTGGCTGGAGGGCAGAAGAAGGGAGGTAGAGTGATTTGGGAAAAACAGGCAACAAGTGTAGAGATGAAAGGCTCTAAGCCCTCATGTCTCTGCCACTATGCAGTCTCCTCAACTAGGCAGTGAGAGCCTTCAGGATAACAGTTCTTTCTGATTTATTAATAGAGAAATAGTAACTTAGGCCAAGGGTTGACAGACTGTGACCTGGAGGGGAAAAAATCCAGCCTAATGCCTACTTTTGTGTGGTCAGTGATTTAGAAATGGCTTTATATTTTTAAGTGGCTGGGGGGAAAACAGCAGAAGAAGACTATTTCATGATCCATAAAGATTCTATGCAACTCAGATTTCAGCATCCATAAATATAGCTTTACTGGGTCACAGCCTCATCTGATTATTTATGCTTTATCTAGGGCTGCTTTTGAGCTCTCACAGCAGAGTCTAGAGGTTGTGACAGAGACTCTGCAGCCTATGAAGTCTAAGTCAGTTACTATCTGGTCCTTTACAGGAAAAGTTCGTTGACCCCTGCCTTTGGCTATAGATCCAGACTACTTCTTCCGCCT